TGCTAGTTTATTTATATATTGAAAGTTGTATAACGTTTATTGCATTTTATATACGATAATTAACAAACAAAACATGAATTTCTACAATTAATTCTGATTTTTTCTCACCCTTAAAATTATACTTAAATGTAGATAAGAGATTAAATTAATTAAATTTTTTATCTGAAATTGTTTTAATAATAGGAGATAATGCAAACTTGTTAAGCATAATTTTTACTTTTTATTTTAGTATAAAAAACAAAATGTGAATGCGTTATATATAATTCCTATTTTCACAAAAAATATTTATAAATAAAATTTATAAAAAGTAGAAATATTCAAGTAATAAGCATTGTTTTATCAGTAATATTAATATTGAGCTTTAAAACTTATTGTAAGCGTTATTAAGTGAGTTGCGTGACATTAATCTGATCACCTAGAGCTAGAAAGGAAGTCTAAAATCTATAATGCAGGTTGCCACATGTATAAACTAAATTATTAAAAAACTATTTAATCTTATAAAATTTTATCTGATACAACGAATAGATAGGAACTAGAAAGACTTTCAGTTATTATTTCTGAGAAATTTAATATAAATGTCACTGATAAAGCTATACATTTTCCTATAAACTAAATAATTCTAAAATATTTTATACAGGAATAATGTTTAGAGAAATCGAAAATAAAGTTTATTATTTCTTTATCGAATACTTATTTCTATTCTGCATTTATTACTACACTCGTTGAACAACTATTTCCTTTTACATCTTTATATTTGTTTTTTAGAAATCACGTAATTTATCGAGGTCATAATTATCTGGAAGGCAAAAGAAATAATAAATAATTAACTTTATCGATATAAACCTTGATTTATATAATATTCTATTATATGCTTGTTTTAAACTCTTCGTGTTTACCTTTCTTTCCTGTTTTTTGACTGTCGAAAATTTTAAGAATCACTTGATAAAAGCACGTTAATAAGATATAAAAGCCTTCTGTAGGTGTTATATAAATTTAAGTAAATGATCAAGTTTCGTAATTACAGTGTCAGCTCAAAAAGAATGAATAAAATTCTAGAGATTTTGATTCTTGCCTATAAATTGTGAAATAACAAAGAATGATTCTATTATTATTGTGAGAACTAAAAGTTTGAAAACGTTTTAAAGTTTAAAAAAATTGTAAAATTAATTTAGTTTAAATAATATTTTATTCGATCTGAAAAATAAAGAAAATTTGTAAATGTACAAGATCTCTTCACTTCTTCCTGTAAATCGGGAAAGTTGGAGTTTCTGCTAAAACGAAAATGTGAGATAATACGTGAATTCAGGGGTTGGTTTGTCTCTGACCTTTGAGCGGCGTCGGATCGATAAGATCTGCTTACGTTGTCACTGAATGGCTATTAAGGTGTTAAATTAAATAGGAGGGGTTTCGACCGTCGACTGGGGAGCCGCGATGAGCCCGTCGATAGGGTGTTTGGTTTTTCCGATAATAACAGGTTGACAGATAAACAAAGCAACACGTTTAATACAAAAATAAAGCAAACTACAATATAGAGCTAGATACTTATACACTAATAGACCGATGGAGAGTTTATAATTTTCTAAGTAAAATACCTCTATTAGACCGATGTCTCCAGATCCAAGTTTTGTGAAGGTCGGGAAGACGTTCGTGGATCTTCGGTAAAGGTTGCTACAGAGGGAAACAATAATGGCGGGTAGAGCTTCCGTCTGTGGGCTCTTCAAACTGTCTACTCTGATGCTCGAGTTCGAGCCCTTTTTATCCTCCTGAGTGTGCGATCATTACTCCGGTGATTCACATTGTTGTGGTCCTAAGTTCGCGATCTGTCCCTGGTACGGCCGAGGCGGTTTGATTTTTTTTTACTATATGAAGCAACAAATTCGAAGTTTCTTCATATCATCAATGACGTGTTGGGACTCTTTTTACCTCATAGTTTAACCGATTTTGATGTCTTCCTCATTAATAACTATTTGTTTGTATTTATTGTGGAAACTTATTCAAAACATCGTTAAAGGTTGTTTATTTGCACTGTTATTTGATCGTCGTTATCTATCGGATCAGAAGTCAACGGAAAGGCCAAGTAGTGGAAAAAAATGATTTTTTCCTCTTCTTAATTAACTGCGTATTAATTTTTAATTTCTTAGTGTAAGTAATTCATCGTCTAAGGCTTCACTGGACCCTACAACAAACAAGAAGGGTTGCAGAATCTCACGAATGTATGAAAGATGGAAGTCACCTTTCATACTTGCTTTTTGTCCTAATCCATAAGCCACCAGCCATTTTGGTTTGTCGTCACGTTCAGCCATGTCACTAGCCTATCGAATTAGTTCCCGCCTCATCTCTTTAAATGAAAAACGTAATAAGTATCAAAGTTCTCGCACTACGGCCCAGGTGATAACGATTATTGTAAACTTTCTTTGTCGACGAATGGTATACAGTCGACCCCCTATAATATCATAGATACGTTTCATTCTTTAGGAATCTGATTTGTTACGAGTCCTTCCAATCACAGCCCGACACGTGTGAAGTTTACGGACAACGGCTGATTGAAAGGTTTTCTTCCATAAAATTAATCGATTCTAGACTAATCCGACTCAACATTTCCAAAATACGTATATATTTTTTGGAAATAATTCGTATAAACTACGCTATAAACAAAAAATTGTAGGATTATTTACCGAGTGTGCACTATTCGACATCGCCATTGTTCAAGCTCGTTTTCGTCGCGGAACAGCTCAGCAAACAGCGGCCTATTTCTAACAACTTACTTTTCTGCGAAAACTTCGTTGAACTTTGGAGACATCATTAATATAAATAATTTTAATCGCCGTTGAATAAGAAATGTTTCTTTCACAAGAAATGTATAAAATTACAGTACTGTATTAGACTTACGGTACCTAATTTACATACTGTACAGACGATAGTTAGCGTAAAATCTCCGTAGCGTGGCGCTATGCGGCGGAAAAAATATATATAATTATAATAAAGTTACAATAAATTAAGTTAATATATAATTATATATACAGTACCTAATTTATATATAATACTGTACAGACGATAGCAAACTCTCCGTAGCGTGGCACTTGACGGCAGAAAATAGTTCGGCTGCCCGATGACGTTTTACGTAATTATAGAAGTTTTTCACTTTTTTTTTACAGATACCGTTGCAATTTTTTCGCAGTTTTATAGGAATCGTAATTATAGGGACCGAAATTATACGGGGTCTACTGTAGTTATAAGATAGGGTAGGTAGCCGAAACGTATATTAATTAACGAATTAATTTAAAATTAAATAGGAAATAATATAAAAATGGAACGGCTGGGAGTGTCTAATCTCACAGCTAACTGGTGCGGTTACACTCGGTTAAGCGGTATGGTCCCGTTAATTTCTACATATTACGGCGATCCCAAGGGGTATAGCGTAACCGATTTCTTTGACCCTTTGACAGAGTTCACAAGAATCGAAATTGGTCTAAAGCAATGTTCCCTCTAATTTTTTTTACGATGAGCGGAACATATACTTCTCTCAGCAAAAAAAATTTTTTGCTGAGCAGATTCTGAGCAAAAACTTTTTCTGATCATATATATATATAATCTTATTTTTTTCTATAAAAATTAAAATAATTAATTATGAAGTAGAGATTAAAATTAATTTTAAAACATTCTTTTATACAAAATATTATCTCTTGACTTGATTTATTGTATTTAATTGAAATATACGTAGCAATAATCATGTTGCAGACAGAGTGAGGAATAAGTAAACAACAATTCAAATCAGTGTGCATGATCGTTTCGATCAGTGTGTATGAGTTAATATATCAATAAAAAAATTTTTATTGATATATTAACAATTTTTAAACAGGAGATCGTCTCGATCATCGACCGCAGAAGACCCCTTTTTTCCTTTTACACCTAATCACGAGGTTAATTAGAAGGGTGATACTGTTATAAAACAAATGGTTTTGGACCTTCACAGTACTAAAAATTGTTTCACTTACAAAATACAATTTTTGTTCTTATATTATATAATATCATGTTAAGTTTTGGACCATTTTCTTTGGCTATTGTATTCATTTTATTCGAAAGACGAGTAGGTTTTATCAAACTCTCTGCCATATAATCATAATAAGAGTTACATATTAATTAGTCAAATATTTAGAATATTTTTTATAAAATTTGGATTCGTATTATTTTTATTCTGTAGCTTATCAATAAAATACTAAAATGAAATACAAGTATCTAACACATTATTATCTTAATCATTTATGTCCGTCCCATTTGATACAATACAGATAAATACGAACAACAGATCGTTAAAAACAGTTAAATTTACTCAGTAGCGAAGCGTAAGTGTCAGCCGCCTGGGGCAAAAGAAAATTTCGCCGTTTCGTTATTTAGGTATCTCAATTTAAAAGATTATAGTTCAGTTTCATCACAGAGTAAATAATGAAAAATTCCGTGCTAGTGTTGCCACCTTTTAAAATAGCTCTATTGGAGGTGTATATGAATTTGAATGAATCGTAGAAGCAAAAAGAAAAAAAGGTCGTCGACAGGTTGCGCACGACATTCCCTAGTAAAATTAATAGTTCACCGGAGGGTGAGTCGATTCCCGCACTGTCCGGATGGTAGCACTATTCCGTGCTCATTTCAATCGCTCCGAATCGTAGGTGAGACTAAAATATGAAATAAAATAATAATATCTTGTAAAAATTTTAACTATTATTTATTGTGAAATTTTGCCGCCCCCTAAAAAGTGCCGCACGGGGCGGGCCGCCCCTGCCGCCTCCACTGAAGTTACGTAAACTTAAATATGAAAAATTATCAATGTTATAAATAAATCAAATGCAATAAACAGCAAAAAATAGTACTATTGTGAAGCAGATTTAATAATAATAACCATAATACATTTTATTCTCGTACCTTTTATCTTTAAAAATATGAATTACAATTTATAAGTAAAGTTTAATAATAAGTAGAATTATTTTGATACAGTTTCTAAATGCATTCGTTGAGATTATATGATATAAGCCTATGTTTATATAAATTTGTAATAAAAATTACCGCAATGTTCAGGTTATTTAAAATTTTACAACATTCGTCTTTTTTCTACACACATTCTTATACCCGATATTGGAGTCAACATAATTGTGTATGAGATGAAGATTTTATCCTGAGGATCCAAAGAGTAAACTTTAAATTTACGAAGAACATTTGCCAAAACCATTTTCGTTGTAATCATGGCGAGTTTACTTCCTGTAAATAAATTATTTTAATGACACAATTCTTTTGTTTTTGTATTTATTAACTAATCACTTACCGAGACAATTTCGTGGACCGACAGAAAATGGCAGATATGCATAAGGGTGAAGATTTTTATAGTTTTCAGGTAAGAAACGGTCTGGATCGAACACTTCGGGATTTTTGTAAACAGAAGGATTATGATGAATACCGCAGATACTTATGATAAGAGAAGAATTTGCAGGCAACAGGTAATTACCTGTATGAATGACAAGGCTTTTATGCTTCAAGTCAATAACAAATATAAGATATTATTATTGAAAAACAAATTCCAAAATATCAAAAATTACCTATTTTCATTTCCGATGGGGTTTTTCTTGCAATTAAAGGAAAAATAGGATAGATTCTCATCGACTCCTAGAAATTGAAATATATAAAACTGTTCCTTGAATGAATTAAAAAAATTAAGAAATTACCTTAATTACGCATTCTAAGTACGTCATTTTCGTCAGGTCATCGATAGTAATATTCCTATTGAAATCATTTTTGAAAATTTCTTGCAATTCTAGATACATTTTCTCTTGTATTTCGTGGAATCTTCCCAAGAAATAAAAAGTCCATGAAATAGCGTGGGCGGTTGTATCGTAACCCTGATATTATAATACGTTGAAAAGAAATGTAAAATTGTTTTCTATATAATTGACATCTGCAGTAAAATAATTACTGTATAATAAACTTGTAAAATTAGGATATGGGATGCACGAATGCCGCACATCTTTCACATTAATGTCATACCAGTTTACAATGCACAATCACATTCCTTGCAGCAAGCAGTTCACATAGTTGTTCGTACTTTATCTTTATCTTTATTTACTCCCGATACCGCCAGAGCATAATCGGGTTAAATACAGAGATATATCAAAGCACAGATAACTACATACATAATAAGAGAGAGATAACTTACAAACAGTATCAGAATAGAGAAGAGGTATGAACTGATGGTGAGATGACCGATACAAATCAACCGATATGATACATAAATTGAGAGTAGAATAACATGTACAGCAGTATAAAATAGACAATACTAATAGTAATAATAAACATTACACAGATGTCACTGATAAGCTCCCAGCTTAGGCCCAACATCATAGGGCCTAACAATCTTAGAGTGAAAGGGTTAGCAGGGATGCAAGCAGAGTTTCTAACGCTAATAAGAGCATGATCTAAAAGATTATCCATGTCCATTATCTCCCATGACTTCAGCAGAGGGCTAAGGCTGTCAGAATAAAAAGTGATATTTACCCACGAACAGCCACAACTACCAGTAAAGATTGGTGGTGAAAATGGATCGTTTGCAATCAGTAAATTATTTACGATAAAATATCAATAATCTGATTTCGAGAGTTTACTGTTTCCTATAATAAGGAAACAGCCTAGAAACTTTCAAATGGCGCCAATTGTATCCGGCGTGAGTTTCAGTGATAAAATGAAAGAGAGAAAAAAATGCGTCATTTCACTTTTTTCGAAATACAGGCATTTATGGATGAAGTGGAAAATAAATAATATTAATAGAACCGAGGATGGTTTCAACTGTTACCTCTCGCGCAAAACGTAATTATTGGAGATTAGGCCTGGTTTTAAAGAAGTGAAGTGTTAGTAATTTACTGCACAGTACGTAGCAGCAGAAATGAAAATTAACATAAATACATAAAGTTTACAAATAAAGGAAATAATTAAAATTTTTAAATAATTTATTATAACAATTTTGTTTATAATTTTAACACGATTAACAGAATAGAATGTTATATATATGCGCCTTTGCAAACGAAGTGTCAGTTCCTTAATGAAACTAAAAATTCTTTTCCCTTATATTCGATATTATCAGATTAATTCTATTAACACAAATGTCTTCGACCGATAGACGAAATAAACGTTAAATTGTCCACAAACTGTGTAATTAGTCGAACGAAAAAGCTAAATACACATCGTCCAGCTTGAATTGTCTCGACTTACGACAAACCATTCATGTCGTAATATAACGACGTATATGTGAGATTAGCCGGAGGTATGAAGTAGTTAATACTCTTGTATCACTTACTCGGCGGCTAGTTGAGAAAACTAGTTCTCGGAGTTCCAGATCGAGAGGTCCGATCTCTAACTCTTTTTCTAGGAGGGCTGTTAATCAGTAGCGAGCCGTCATTAGAAGCGGTGGAAGCGCCGCTTCCCTTGTATTTTTTAAAAAAAATAAATACATTAATTTTAATTTTAGTTATATGAAAATAATCGCACAATATTTTATTATAACCGCATTATATATCTTATTACAAATTTCTATACTACACNTAACCAGTGGCGTGCAGTCATTGGAAGCGGTGGATGTGCCGCTTCCCTTGTATTTTAAAAAAAATAAATACATTAATTTTAATTTTAGTTATATGAAAATAATCGCACAATATTTTATTATAACCGCATTATATATCTTATTACAAATTTCTATACTACACGTGAAAAAAAAATAATATTGCTATTGTATATTCGAATATTAGTGGCGAAGTGAAATCTCTGTATTGTCAGATTCCAAAAAGCCAGATTTGCGCACGCGCTTTACACAGCACTGGTCTCACCCGGTTTAGCCGGTGAAAGCCTATGACCTTGGATCGATGCTACACATTCCAACGCTTCGAATTCTATCCGGGACTGGTTCTCGGCTGTTAGCCGCCCGCCCGCTACATATTTGGCCGATTACGTGAATAATGAATAACGAATAGATTTATAACTTAACCCAACCGATAAGAATTTACTGGTACGTTTTTACGATAGTTCCGTATAGTTGACGTGAGTTAAAAAAAAATCCATTAAAATATTTGATATATTTATTCCGCTGTCCGATTTTATAGTACTCACGGATTTCGATGTTAAACCAGTGATATTACGTTTTCATTTATCCCGTCTTTAAGGGAATGTAGAAAAAAACGTGTACAATTCTTGTATAATGTTAAAAAATTAACCGTTACTTCGACAGCGTCATTTACAACTAAATTTAATAGATGGAAGAGACGCACGAGGTACAAGAAAAGCTCTAGAATTTATTTTCCTTACACTTACGATTTATTTATCCGTTTGTAATAAAAATTTGTCTTTCCACTTTTTTCCCAAGACTACAAATATTCGAGTACAAAGTAACTGGTGGTTAAATAATTAAGCAATTAGGGGATTTGGGACACAAAACCCTGATGAAAGAGCCAAAATTTTACTTAAACAAAAGCCTAACCGAACCAATCTCTAGCCGAGTACAGTGGGAGTGATTTCTTCGAAATATTAGATGTAATAAAGACAGACATTTTTCCAGTTCGACAAGAGTGACCGAAAAGTTGTAAATTTTGAAAATTTTCGTGGACAACACCTAGTCCTAAAACGAATTAGAAAACAAACGACGGACAATCTATTAAATTTAACATATTTAGACTTTTACAGCTATGGTGAGAAACGTTTAAAATTTACAAGAACCCTGTCGCGTCTTTTGACATTTGACATTGATCGGTATCGGCACCCTCGGGATTTGGCAGCCCACGTGCATGTACACACCGCACACCTAGCGGGACCGTCTCTGATTCCACTCGTAGGGAGCTATTTGACTAAGTGGTTAAGATTTAAAGAGTAAAGAAAATTTTATGTTACTTTTATGTACGTTTTCTTACAAAGCTATATTTAATTATAATTTCCTTTAAAAGTATATTCGTACAATTGAAGAATGTTTTGTAACGGGTATGTATATCCACCACACATTTTATTTCACCGAGTAAGTTTTTATAATTGTATTTTTAATTTTAGCCCTTATATTATAGCTAGCGATTCGGAAAGAAATTGTGATATTGAAAATTTATTTTTAAAAAGTTTTGGCTCGAGATCATATAATGAAAACGAAAACGTTATTAAAAGAGAAAGAACAATGCGACATTTTCGCGATAAAATGGCTCCGTAAATGCATAAAAATTCAAAAATTATTTTGTTGGCTCGCCTACTATTAGTGTGTGGAATGAGAATGGCTTTGACACTCAAAAGACACGAAAAATCGTCGATTCTTTCGTATTTGAAGCAATTTGGAAACCGAAGCAGAATATTATTTAACATTAGTAAATAGTATAAAATAAATATTGAAAATTATAACGAGATAGTTACGGTTAATAGATATATTATATCTAAATAAATAGATGTTATATGTTTTTATCGAAGCGAGAATTGGCATTTAGAGGGCATATAGAATATATTGGATCTAATAACGGAGGTAATTATATTGAACTTGTTTATTTATTAAGTATTAAGATAAATAATGTATTAAAAATACATTTAAAGAAAGAATTAGCTGATTGCTCCTGGAAGTCGGCTTCTTATAGAAACACAGCTTCCCTATCATCAAATGTCACTCATTACCAATTGCTCTAACGCAAAATATAACCATCCTTTCGATGGTCTTTTCCTTTGTCTAGTACCTCTTATGTACCATTTTAGTCTCTTTGTCCTAACTACACTTGTAATTAACTGTTATAAATTATAAACGATATGTTTAATTAATATCTCTTATCAGCAGTAAGTTATCACAAATACTGATAAAATAATTGATAAGAACTAAACCGTTTCTATGTAAACGTGACATCAGAATATCCTATCATATTATTTTATTATGATGTCATTATTTCACAGTTAGTGTTTAATTGATACACATACGTAGCGTGTGCGAAATGAAATTATTTTACATTCGATATGACTAAAGTATAGAGGAGTATGAGAGCACAGAATTATCTTATATACAACGCAACCATCAGTAAAGTAACGTGAGTAAATGTTACTTTATATAAAATTTCATTCTTCATTTAAAGAAAACGTAATAAATAAGTAATTGTTAATCATAATAACAGTTTTGTAATCATTTGCATCACCCAACTATTGTAACGTTTGTTTTTCATTTTTTTACCTTCTAGACACTAACAGTCCATATATTAATACCTTTATGGTAAACATTTTTTATACGTTGGTAATAAAAGGGCATATACCTTTATTATCCAGCTTAATATAGCATATATTTTTATGAGTTCGGCCGAATATCTGAGACAGACCGTCCCTTAAGGATTCCTGGGATTGGTTTCCTGAGTGGTACACTGAAAACAATTACCTAAGTCATTATATTGAATAGTTTTAACTCGAAAGTATTTAATACAGTTTAATTATACATTAAATTAAATATTATACAGTTGGAAATAAAAGTAATCATTGACGGAGTAAAGTATAGATAAGTAATTGCTGTACTTTATCATCAAACATGATAAGTACAAAATGATACGAAGATCAATATTTTTTTATGTTAAACTTCGATCTCTATAATTTTCTTGTAGTGTTATAGTACAGGTTATCGAGGACTCTGCTTACATCNCGATTCGGAATGTAATTGCGATATTGAAAATTTATTTTTTAAATGTTTTTGCTCGAGATCATATAATGAAAAAGAAAACATTATTAAAAGAGAAAAGCTAATGCCTAAGTTAAATATAAACACTTCGATTAAAAAAATTTGTTCGACATTTTCTCGATAAAATGGCTCCGTAAATGCGTAAAAATGGAAAAATTGTTTTGTTGGCTTGCCTACTATTTTCAA